ATTTGTAAGAGGCAAGTCTTAGATTAATTTTCGCCAAAGCTGAATTTAAATTACATTTTTGTCAACCCATAGTGAGATTTAACTCATTTTCCCCCCGTTTTATTATAAATAATATTGTTTATTAAAAAAAAAATTAAATAAATAACAACAGTTGTATTTATCATAAATTTTTTAGACAATGTACAAATTAAGTCTACTAGCATTACCCGTCGAGGAAGAGTCGTTAGAGACTTGCCTTTGGGGGCGAGTCCCCTTAACATTTTTCCATATTTCATATTTGAGTTTTTATTGTACTAAAATAGAAACAAATTTTCTTCTAAAATTTAATTGGTCCAAAATCTTTGGCCAAAAACTAAGGGAGAATGCGGTGTTTTAAATACCGAATACTCAGTAAACACGAATGGCCTACCTTTTGTGAGTGAGATGAGAGATTGGCCAATGGCCATACCAAAAACTCACCGATCTCCAAACCAAAACCTAAAATCCAAATAAGATATTGTAACCTACTCTCACTCCAATTGAAGCCATCCTTTCTACCAAAAAAGTCACCACCTAACTGTCAACGACTCCAACCAAAAGAGTCACCTAAAACAGGAGACAAGAGTGCGGATAGTTAAAAGAGATGATATTGCCCAAACAGTTGGAAGAAAAAGAACAGAACTCTTTCAAAAGTATGACTTTTCACAGATTTTTTGCCACAGTTAATTTTCATGCAAACATTATAAAACATTGTACAAAAAACATGAGGGGCAGAAGGTCCAAAAAAAAGTCTCACTTTAAAAAAGTCCAGCAGCATTTCTCAAGATTTAAAGTCCTTGGCTTCCTTATTGGAGCACATGGTGAAGCACAGTATAAGATTCCTAATTTTCAATTTCATTTCACTTTTTTACAATAGTTTTAATCAAAATCTTCAATTTCTATCGTTTCTGTAATTTTCTTTCATAATACGTACAACAAATTGTTTATTAATGACTGAAGAATATGAACTTTCAATTTGTCATCGTCACTAGTTGAATTATAATTAAATTGCATCGGGTCGTTTACCAAAGTGCGGCAGAGAACGCCATTCGGACAGTAATGGATCAAGGTATGCAACGAGCCAAAGTTAAGATAAAAGTTTCCTGTCTCGGAATAAATGCGATACTAAACAAGTTTAATCATTAATAAAGCCGATGTCAACGAGGACACAACGGTAAAAAAACTAAAACCCTGAATGCGAGGATGGAGTTAACTTTGAAAAAGATTCACTTGCCGTATAACTATTATATTGAAAATTATAACTTCAGAGAAGAGGAACATTGGATACCAACGGCATACCATGTGAGAGCATGTATTGTTGGTTTAAATAAAGTTGAGAGATCCTTGCATGTTGCTTGGATTGGATCGGATTGGATCACGTACCGACAGTTGTAACGCTTTTTTCGTAGGGATGAGGGAGTAATGCCTCCACGTCGCCTGCAAGCCGAAGTAGATTGGCTTGTCGCTGACAAAGTAATGACCACCAGATTTGGCAACTCTATCTGATTTGTGTTACGTGGGTTTTAGATTTCCACAACTTCATGCTTTCTTAAACGGAAACCTAACACACGTCTGACTCACGTACTTGAAAAATTATTTTAGAGTACAAACCTCATGATTAGTATCATTCAAACCTTTCGTTATCATATAAGCTTATCTCTATTTTTTTTTCAAACAAATGATACCATCTATATTAAAAAAAAAGAGTTGATTTAATCTCATAATGAGCTAGTAAATAATGTAGTTCAAATTATTTTTTGACGAGAATCGAACAAAAAATCTCTCACTTATAAGCGAACATCAATATCACTAGATCGTAGTACTAAGTGGCAGGATATCTCTAGTTAAACTAGCTAATTGACACAATGTTTCTCATTTAATAATAATAATAATAATTTAGAAAAAATAAAAAACCCTCCCCTTGTAATACGTTGTTTCTCATTTAAAGAGGATTTGAAGAAGAGAGTTTCAAACACTCACTCTGGCATCTCCTAAGGCAGATGTCGTTCCAATTCGGTACTTGATGTTGGTTTACGCAGACAGTGCGGGCACACGCATCAGCACACGCATCGAGCTCAGATACACCGCAGACGGTAACACAAGTATCAGGAATAGGGTCCTTTGAGAATGCACCAACCTTTTTCAGCATTCTCTTCGACGTGCATACCCTTTCGCAGACAAAAATCTCATCAGAACTCTTCTCCCTCCCTCTAGCGCTCTTTAATCTCTGCTCTTCGCCACGCCTTTTCTTCACTCGAAACGCTTGTCCTGCAACTACTGCCGGGATAGCGGCTAAGAGGGACCACCACACTTCCACCATCACAAATGCAGGGATCGACCTCTTCTTCAGCAGGCTAATACAAAAATAAAAATATAACGAGCTTAGGTAATTATTTAATCATCATCGGTATGTCAGTCATGCAATACTTTGTAAACTTCTCCAGGTCATTTTGGCATAACGAATGGGGTTATGTTATATAATATATAACATAATAACAAAGGTTGAAAAAGTTCAGTTCATCATGAGACAATCCTCAAATCACATGTAGCAGATACAATATCAACAAATGCATAAACCAAAGTTCTAGAGCGAAATATATTAATCCCACGCATAAACAAGGCCACAGAGAAACATGCAAGCATTAGTCCAACATTAATGTAATCCGGTTCCTAACACGAGATCATAGCCAAGCGGACTCATATCATCTGATAGACAAACAATAGAAGGAAAGCAGGAAAGAGCTAAATGAACGTCGGAGTGTCCATCGGGCATTTTCGTTTTCTTAATACGTTCAACAATATTGCCGTCACCCAAGAAGACATTTGAACATACTGTTTTCCATACTAGTGAAAACTTCCAACTATAAATATTACTCTAACGGTTGGTTTTAGAATAAAATGAAAATCCAAGGGATATACGAATCAAAACCACAGTTGGTTTTAGAATGCAATGCAGAGTGCAAGGAAATCTGCTTCAGCTTCAGGGCTACAGGTTCGGCTGCACTTGAAAAATCAACTGCACAAGCGGGGCATCGAGCTGAAAAGCACAATCTAACTCACACATTTCAGACATTACAAGCATGTCTCTCAGGTTCCATTGCTATACCTAAATATGTCTAGTAGACATTTCTTTGGCCAACTCTTAGTACAACAACGTCACCAAGGACATTACCAGATGAAGTAATTTGAAGGAATAAAAACCCAGTTGAAGTAATTTGTAAAACAACCAATTCAAGCACAATTACGCAATTTTTCATTACCGAAAACCAGTGTGTTCAAGTCCTCAAAATCTCTTTTGTATTGCCCATGAATTGGATTTTTTTCAACTCTCATTCGCTTTACTTTCGCCAAGTAAACCCTAAACCCTGAATTGGATTTTTTTCCTCTGGCATTGGATTTTTTTCCGGCACCTAGTAAATAAAGAAAAAATCCACACAGCTCGATTTTCATCCTAAACCCTAAACCCTAAATATCATAACAATGCATAATATAATACATGAAACCCTAGGTTTAGTAAAAGTAACAGAAAAATTACAGTCTCAAACACTCAAAAGAGGCATTTCTTCAAGAATTACGGTAAACTGCAACCTCTCCTACACCATCGTAGTAAGAATCAAGACTTTCCGCATCAGAATTTTGCACAAAAAAAACAAAAATACAGACAAATATCTACAATTACAAAACTAAAACCAATTTCAGCCGAAAGGACATAAATTGATTCAAATTTCTTGAGAATTTCGAAAAATGAAAGAGTCACTCACTGAAAGGTTTGAAGATTTGGAGTGGGAGTAAATTTGCAGGCGTTTGTGGAGTTGCAGAGCCTCTGGAAGTGATTGCGAATGCCGTGAAGGTGAAGATCATCTGAGGAAGTACCTGAGCAGTGACGAGTCTTTAACTTTCAACAGTTGGGCTTGGGCTCCTTAGGCTTAGAGAAATGAAACTAATAAGAGGGCTCAGGGTTCATTTACCACATACAAAAGAGCCCAAGCCCAACTCCTACCACCATTCCTTTTCTTTCGGTTTTCACAAACTTAACATATGACATGCAAAAAATAATGAAGAAAGACCTAAATCGTAATCTATATTTTTTTGAGGACTTCGTTTTTTTTTCTTTCTATTTTTTATGCTCCATGATAGTGTTTTTAAATAGCGCATTTTTTTAAGATGGAACTTTAATTCTTGATTTTCACGTTTGATTTTGTACTATCTTATGATGTTACAATTTTTTCATATAAAAAAGATCTAAATTTCGATCCAATCATGTGTACAAAGTGTTTGATGAAATGTTTGAGTTGTACGCACCAAGTGCTCGATGAAATGCCTTAGTTGACACGCTTTGGCAATGTTTGACATTACTCGTTAGTTTCCTATATCTGCCCTCGACAAACTCCACATATCGTAGTAGTGGTCGACATACGTTGCCATAAGCTTTTGATGAATGTCGTTAGGAATCTGCAGTTGCCCACCAAGTTCTTGATGAAATGGTCCAATAAAGTTATGTTGGGTCGGAAACCTAACCACATCATTTGAAAATACTAGCTACTTTTGTTCTAGAAATCTATTTCTATCAAAAGTATTAATGCATCATAAGGAAAACTAAAAAAATGATTTGAAAAATTTGAGTTTTAACGATAAAAACAAAATAAAGGGTAAAGTGAATCGTACCAGGATTGACTTTTTAGTGTAAAAATGTGGTTTTTCGTTATAGTGAATAGTACCGGGAGCTTTTCGTTAAACTTCCCTTAAATCTAATCTAACAAAAAATTGGGGAAACATTGGCCTTTATAAAGAACAAAGAATGTAACAATTAATTCCAAAGACATGTTCTTGCTAATTTACAAAAATATTACATCCTTGGTGGGTTTAATTCAAGTATAATTGAGAACATCATTGAGAATATAGACTAAAAGCAATGAAATTGGGTATAGAAGGTAGGCCAAGAATGATGTCCAAAGGGAAAAGGTGGAGACGAAGCTTGCAATGAGACCCATCACAGTGCAGACAATTAGAACTACTAAAACTTCAGCAGAAAAATCCCAAGCCATTTCACGAGCATAAATTATGGCTAGCAACACAGAAAATCCCAGAACATTGTTCATAAACACCCCACCATAAATCTGCATCCAAATAAAATACGTTCCACGTAAAATAATGAAAATAACACAATTAATTAGGTATTTTCTAATTGAGAAAGAAAATATAAAAAATTGGGCACAATGACAAACCTCAGAAAATGTCAAAGATGTGGTTCTTGGTGTTTTTCTTGAAGCTGCCTTAATCGCTGAAGTGGCTTGTCTGGCATTGGTTGCCAAGGGGACTAGCACAAATGATACAAAGAAAGAAGGGATGCTTGCAGCTGTGGAGAAATCCTGAACACTATCTATAAGAGGTTCTGCTAAAACTGCCAATACAACAAACCCTAGAACCAAATATGTTATAGCTTTCATCCAAGCCCATTTTGACTTGTCGACAGCTCCACCACTGCTGTACTCTTCATCCACCAACTTATCTGTTTCGTCCCATGTCCTCTGCATAATCATTTTGAAGAATTAATCTTAACAGTTGTATTCATATAAATTATTACAGTTTGATACGTGTGCAGAAAACTGTGTTAAACGATAATTTTCAGACAAGGAGACAAGTGGTGTTCAATTCAATTCCTTTCCCTTATAGTTCTCAGAGTTACTTACTTGGTAGATATCGTCCTCCGATTCAAGTGACGGAGGAGCTTGATCGTTGGATTTGTTTATCCATTTTGTTAATCCAGTAACAAATTCTTCCTCACTGATCAACTGGTCTCCACTTGTGTCAAGTTCTTCTATCAATTTTACAACTGATTCATCCACGTCTCCCGGAATCTTACCAAACTTGATATCTCCGATCAGTTTTCTCAATTCTGATTGCGATATATAATTATTTCCATCGAGATCAATCTTTTCAAACAACCTGTTTTTCCATGGTGAAGAGAGTGGTCAGTAGACACAATACCACAGCAAAAAGCACATACAGAGTAATACTACATGCATCTACGTATTACATTGCTGATTATTTGTAGTTATATTAGACTACCAAACAAAGCTCCGATACTGTACTAAGTTTAAACTCTGTTACATTATGAAATATAAACCAACAATGTATGTCAAACTAACAAACTATATGTACTAACATATACGTTATACATTAACACCGTATTTCTCTTTCCCCAATGCTCAAAGAAGTGCCAAGTTTCCTCTTTCCTCCGTTGATAAAATAAATCTGAAAAACTTTGTTCCATATATGTATAGGGTAATGCTATCCACACATCATTTTTTTACCTCTAACAAACTTGTTAATTTTTTTTCCATCGATATTTTTCAATTCATGATCCCACGGTCAAAAATTGAGAGGGATGTGTGAGAGATAACAATAGGTGTGAGAATAACACCACACTATGTATATATAGCAACCAAACGGTTAGTCTACATTACCCCTTTGGGTTAGTCTACAGTACCATTTCAAAAATGGTACTGTTACTTTTTAATTAGACGAGATGTAGTCCTAACCTTCTGATATTTGGTATATCAGGCATGCCGTCATTTGTGACAATGCTTCCAAGTGAATTGCTTTGGACATGTCTTAGTACTTCTGACATTAAATTCTTCTTCATTTCACGTTCTCGTCTTCTATTTTCAATCCAAGGTTGAAAGACCTGCTCAGCAATAGAAGCAGATGTAAATTATTGAGGAGAATGGACGTAAATTGATATGAAAAAGGCAAATGATCTTTTTCACTCGATGCATTTCGTTAATATTCTTACTAGCTATAATCAGGGCATGCATGATATATAGGCCTCATTTGGCATGGAGGATCAGATTGTAATGAATAAGCAACTACTTTCAAGTATTGAAAGAAGAAATGAAAATTTTGGGGCCAACTTGGAGGTAGATGATGAGTTACCTCATATATGTTCTCCAACGATCTTTCGGTATTTTGTTTATGCACTGACTTGATCTCCTCAATCCATTTTGTGAAGCCATTGATGAATTCATCTTTATTAATCTTCCCATCATGATCCAGATCAAACTGTTTCATCACTTCTGCTGTTCCTTTATCAGTATCGTCTTCCGTTGATATGAATTTGATTTCACGAAGAAGTTCTTTTACTTCAGTAAGCGATATATAATTGTCACCATCTTCGTCTACTTCCTCAAATAGTCTGCAATATTTAATTAGTAACCAATCAAACAATATATGGGGACCTTCATAGAATTCAAAACAGTTCTAAAATTATTGAAGGGGAGTTGTTACTATGTGTTCCTCTTAGTATATTTTCTCTCTTGAACTTCCACACGTTTAGAGTTTCGAGTGCTAATTCTCTTATCACATTTGATCACTAAATAAAGTATTACAGTTATTCAACTTCGGCTCACTCTGAAACTCATTTATTGCTATCAAATAAGATACTTATGACAAAGGCATTATTTGGTGAGCAAAAGAGGATTATTTGGTGAACAAATTTGACGACTTTACCACTATCACCATGGGGCAATATTCGGTGAGACCTTACCTTCTTATAGCAGGTATATTTGGTGCCCCTTTTACAGTGAGGACTCTCGCCAGTGCATGTTTTTGGACATGTTGTAAAATGCTTGAAATCAAATGCCCATGTTTCACAAATTCTAATCTTCTTTTTTGAACCCAGGGACGGAAGATCTGTAAGGTTTTAACAGTAAATATTTTACATGAATACTTCAAAGACATTAATATATATAACGGCAATAATATTATCAGTTCATGTATAGAGATATTCATCAATGCGTACCTGATAAATGAAGTACAATAATAAGAATACAACAGAAACACTGAGAGCAGTCAAGATTGCGATGCGTTCCCCGGAAGAGGATGGAAAGATTTTTGCCATTTGCATGATAAGAAATGGTACTACTGAACAAATCATTATCTTCGCAAGGCTGCTGGTCTCTAAATCCGTTGTAATACCACAATCTATGAATTCAAAGGAGAAGAAAAACAATGAGGAGAGGATGAAAACTTGGGATCTCTTACATTACTCTATGAAGACCTAGTCGATTGGTATGAAATTATCACTCTTGTAATGCAAGAGCACATTTTATTATAACTCTTTTTCAATGGGGAGTTCACGAACCACTTGTGCAACTCCCACACTTCTGAAGAAGGAAATTTGTCCCAAAGGTTTGAAGGTAGCAATTTATTTAGCATTTCAAAGAAGTGCGAATAACGCTTTGTTTTTTGTATTTCCTACAAACTTTTATTTCTGAAAACTATTCTACAACGCACCAGTTATATATGGGATGTATCACTTCAGTGAATGACTGCGTATTTCGATTCAACTATTCCATTCCAAGCTTTTAGCCGTTCATATATAAAATCATAGCATCACATACACCCGTGTACAGTAGAAAAGACAAGTTTTCAGGTATGTGGCAAGGGAATCCAATATATAAGTGGATATAGGGTTTAAAAATCTTGGATTTGGATCTCATCTAGACCCTCTTTGTGAGGGTCCTACAATCCTAGGGATCCTCACATTATGTAGACATTTAAAATTTTTTATTTAAAATTAAACACAAGCAGTACTTTACGAAAGCTGATCGTATAATGCAAGATAAAATGATAGGATGTGAGGATCCTCATCCAAAAAATCCAGATGTGTGAAGAAAAAAAATAATGACAAGGCTGACCTGTCAATGATGCAGGCAGTCTTTTCCATGATAAAAGTGATGAATCTGACTCATTGGAAGCCTTAGAGCTTTGATTATCTGAAAATTGTTGGCTGCTGACAATTACACAAGTCCCCCAAAGTATTGTTAAGCTCAAAATTGATGATCCAGCCAACAGCCCAACTCCAGTATAGACATACTCCTGAGCGACTTCCTTGGAGTTAAAAAATCCAGAAGCTGTGTGCAGAATTATCAAATTACCGTTACAATTTGCATATGTGTACAATTTTAATATAAGTAGTGAAGGAAAATCAATGAGTTTAATTAACTGAAACTTCCAAATGCATTTCTTCAGTAAGTGTGATATGATTAGTTATATATATAATTGTTGGTTGTTTGATTCTTCTAATCCTTTTTATGTTTTTATATACTTGAGTGGTCTTGTGTGCATATGGGCTGCATGTGCTTTTTCTTCCTTCTGCTATCTTACTGGTTAATTAACATTTATAAATCACTTCCTTAAACTACATCGCATACAATTATCGTCAAACCTTGTGATTAAATTTATTAACCACTTAATATTTTCTTGTTTTTGCCAGGTTGTAGATACATTAATAAGTACAAGATCGACTTCGACGCCCTTACAAATTAAAATCAGAATATCTTCCATATTGGCAGTTGGAATCCCTCTCCTCCAGCTATATACTCTAATTATATTCCTAAACCACAAATTCAAAGAATTTTTATAGCTACCAACTAATACCACAGTCTAGCTGTATTATTCTTCATTTGTTAGTGATATGGACAACGATGATGTATTATATGTGTTGAGTTAGATACCTAGTTAGTGACTGACTATTTGTTTGGCCTAACCCAATTTTCACTCTTTTAGATTAGAAGATCTCCTTCCCAGAAGTAAAACATCGTTAGTATAAAAATAAAATAAAAAATTTAATAGTTGCTATACGTTTAGTATTTAATTAACATTTTGATAATATAATATATAAGATAGTTTGAATTTTAATACAAGTAGCTGGCGTGACATGTTAGATAATATTTAATTAAATAATGTGTGTAGTACATTAATGAAAAATCAAATCCAATCCATTTGCTACATCCTGTGATGAGTAGCACATGATCATGAATGTGGAACACCTCTTTTATGCAATGAGTGCAGGAAAGTTTTCACAATATGAAGGAAAGGAAAAAAAGCACAGAAGAACATTTAGAAGATCTCATCATCTATGATTTGTGACAACAAAAACGAAGAAAAAAACTTGTAAATTGTAGATACAAACATACCAAGAAGTAATAGAGACTCAGGAAGGGCACCGATGACATGAAAAGCACTAGCACCAAACACACCAGGACCCAAAATCTTGAAAATCTGTTCACCTCCAGCCGCCAAATACGACTCACCATGAAACAACAAGTACTCATAGACCACCATTAGAAACACATGCCCAAAAACACTGTCGGAGCATGGCAAGAACCCGTAAAGCTGCTCGCAAGACGACTCTGTGGAATCGATATTCTCAACTCCTTTGAGAAGTAAGAGGGAGCAGCTGCTTTGATTTTGATATGCATGATCTGTTCCATCTGAAACCAATTGGGAAGACGAAGTACTCCGAGTATTGAGTCCAAAAGAACGACCACTGACTTTCACTGTTATTACAAGAAGAACCAAAACAACCCAATTTGCAGTTTTCGTGATGTTGCTCATTGATGATCTTCTCTTCTTCGTCTGCTTGAAATGAAGGGGAGCTATAGCTAGACGATAATATAAAACGCGGTTTTTTTTTCTTTCTTATTTTTTATATATGGAAGTTGATGAGTTTATATTTTTATGTCAATTGTCATGGTTATGAATTTAGAAAGGTATTAGGAAGATCAATGTGCATTAATAAAGTCAATGATTTTATTGTTGATTTTTTAGTGGATTAGGTGATATTTTTGGGGACTTTATTCCAAATCAGAAACACGCAAGCAGTCAATTATCATAAAAATAAGCATAAAAAATAATAAATTCAACTACAGGCCGCAATGTTTCCTCTTCACTATAGTCTGGTCATTGTGATAGCATATGGCCCTTGCTGGCCGTCATGTTTGATGCACATGGATTTGGTTATTCTGTTTTCCTCAATATTTTTTTTTTCAATTTTACTATTATTAAGGGAAGGGGAAGAGTTTGAAATTATTATATTAATTTAGAGGATAAAGAGTTTCGAGTGTACGCATAAGTAGAAACTCAACATTCTATCTATTAGGATATTAGACCACATGTAATATTTTCCTCAATGTTATTATACATACTTTTATTTTTACTATTCTATTTTCCTCTTGTAGTGGAGTGGTTTTTTCTCAACTTAGGTTTGATTGTCATGGACATTGTTGATGCACAAAATCAACGAGGATTTTGGTACAACAAAAAGTGTTAAGTTTGTGACCTTTGCTAGATTGCTCCGGTCACTTGTGTGGATAAATAAATAAATGGATAGGGACAGGGAAGCAAACACAAGATGTATGTGATTAATCCAGATTGGCTAATTCCACAGAGTAGAAGAGTTCTCATTAATTGTGAAGGGTTTACACAAGTACATAGGTTCAAGCTCTCCTTTAGGGAGTATTAGTGAATGATTTAGTACAAATGACATTAGGAAATATTGTGAGAGAATGATCTCTATTTATAGAAGAGAGTTTCTAGTTTTATTCTAACATTGACACGTGTCGTGTTGTGATTGGTTTCTAATGTTAACACATGTCGCGCTATGATTGGCTTCTGATGTCGGCACGTGTCACGCTGTGATTGGCCTCCTAGTTGGAGGGAAACTCTTCTGGGTCCTTGACGGTATAATGTTGACCGGTGCTCAGTAGTTTCGGGATTGGTCAAGTATGGTACAAACAGTGCTCCCCTAAGTTCCCGAGTGAGGGAAGCTCATCGGTTGGGGACTTGCAAGATCCAAGCCATTGAATAATCACGAAACTTATAAGTACCGAAGTGTGGCATCATTTTCACTTGCCTTATCTGTCTCATATGTAGATGTGACATCTTCTCTGGAAGTATTTTTCCTTAATCCAGGGGTGGTATCTTTAACCGATGAAGATGCACAAGGTAATGTATCAATTTCACTTGAAGCTTACTTGTAGTTTCGGGTTGGGTCAAGTGCAATACAAACCTTATAGTAGGAGTCCCCCAAGTTGCCGAGCTAGGAGATTTGCTGAAGGAGGTAACAAACAAGGTAAGCAATCAGACTTCCAAGCAAGCAACCTGGATCGGAGGTTCGACTTAGGCTTCCGGTTGATTGTTCTCATTCTCCTTGTGTCGTAAATAGCTCCAAGGATAAGGAGAAGCAAATGGAGAAGAGATGATATGAGATACTTTTGCTTTTAAAGAAGTAACTTTCCATATGCTTATTCTTGAACTAGGCTGAAGCTTTTGTGGGTCAAGCTTTTGTAGGTTAAGCTTTTGTGGGTGAAGTTTTTGTGAGTAAAGTTTTTGTGTTGAAACTTTTGTGGGTGAAGTTTTTATTGGGTACAATGAATTGATTTTGCTTCACACTATCTTGATCAAGATAACGTGAAGCTTTTGATAATTTATAGTTGTCCTCTATTGATGAAGCTTTTGTTGGTGAAGCTTTGGAGTTAAAGCTTTTGTTGGTGAAACTTTTATGGGTGAAGCTTTTGTTGGGTACCATGAATTGATTTTGCTTCACATTATCTTGATCAACATAGTGTGAAGCTTTTGAGATTTTGTAGTTGTCCTCCATTGATGAAGCTTTGTTGAATTTCCCTTTTCTTTTTTGGGGAAACTAGAAATTTGAAAATGTGGGAGAGACAACATATACAAATTTTACTTCCACACTGTTGATCAAGAGATTGTGATGCAAGCCACAGTTTGTAGTAGTCGAAGGTTTGGATGAACCATATAAATTGAATTTGCTTCGAACAGTCTTGAATTTGCTTCGAAGGTTTGAGAATTGTAGTTGCCCTCCATTGATGAAGCTTTGTTGGCACCATAAATTGGTTTTGCTTCACACTGTCTTGATCAAGAGTGTGTGAAGCTTTTGAGAATTGTGCTTGAACTCCTTTGATGAAGCTTTTGTTGGCACCTAAAATAATTGTATTAAATATAAACAAATATTATATTCAATCCTACAAGTTTGATTCTAATATTGTAATTTTCATACTTAATTTGTACTAATACTACAAAAGCAAAATACATCAAAGAAGATGCAGACACTTGTCTTGGGTCCCAACGTTAGTGTTATTTTCGTTATATAACACCCAGGAGGCCAGGAGGATCCTCGCTGGATCCTCTTTGTGAGGATCCTCGCCGGATTCTCATTGTGAGGATCCTCACCGGATCCTCTTTGTGAGGATCTTGGGGATCCTCTAATCACATTTGTTCATTGTACATCGTGCGATCAGAAATCATTGTAAATTTTTTTATTTAAAATTGAATATAAACAGTACCTGACAAAAACTGGCCGCATGATGTACAATGAACATATGTGATTGGAGGATCATGGGAATCATCCAATCACATCCATTCATTGTACATCGTATGATCAGAAATCATTATAAATGTTTTTTTATTTAAAATTGAATATAAACATTACTTGACAAAAACTGACTGCACGATGTATGATATACATATGTGATTGAAGAATCCTCGGGATCCTCACAAAAACGATCCGGCGAGGATCCTCTCTCATATGACACATAGGCCTCTCAAAGACTTAGCCTATGGCTCTGTGACACTGCTTTGAAGCTAAGAGCCGCTAGTGTCATTCAGACCATCTCCAACCGAAGGAGGGCTATAGGGCTCGTTTAAGCCCTCTGGCCTTCCAAGAAATTAATATTTTAATGAATAGTGCAGGGCCATATTTCTTACCATCTCCAACTGAGGGGTCAGAGGGCCATAGGCCAAACATAGCTCTGTGACAAAAAACCATCTCCAATTAAGGGCCAAAGGGCTATAGTATGAAATGTGAAGAATTGAAATCAAATAAGGTAAAATAATATGGAATGGTGAAAATATGTGAGAAATGATGTAGGAAAAATTAGAAATTAAAAAAAAAAAATTGGGCTGGGACAAAAAAAAAATCCTAAACTTTAAACCCTAAAGTGGGTTGGGTAAATGGAAAAGAGCAAAAAAAAAAAAAAAAAAAATTGGGCTAGCCAGCGGGCTGGCTGAAGATGGCCAACCAATTGACCCTTTTTTGTCCCGTGGGGCCGACGAGCCATTTGGCCTAGCGCTCAATTGGAAACGGTTTTCGGGCTATTTTGGGCCCTCTGACCCTGTGTACTCTTCGGTTGGAGATGGTCTCAATTTGATATATTCAGATTCTTCGAAGCAGATTTTTATTATTTTTTTTTAGGATTTTTTTTATGAATTTTCTGTCACTTCATGTTTTGATATAATAATTTATAATGTTGTCATGTAAATTAATATTAAATTATGAGATGATAGAGAGTACATAGAGAGTCTCTTTAATATTTTTCAAATACCAATTCAATTAAAATAATTATTTTCAGTTGTGGGGGAAAAAAAATCAAATCAACAGTCGCTATTGGTGGATGATATAGTGACATAAGAATAATCAAATCAACAATTCTGAAGCATTGATCTCAAGTAATTAATATGATGAAAGTAGCATTTGGTTTTGAATTATTAGTTTTAATTGTTAGATGCATGTTCAAAAAGTCAATTATATGATGAAATATTTTAAGAATACTTATTATGTTAAATTAGACGGGCAAAGTTTATTTGGCATTTACTTTTATTTCTATTATGTTACAAAATAATAATGTAATCTAAAGAATGTTATCAAACTAAGAGACAAGTAATCTAAGGAAGTTAGATCAATATGGCTTTTCTCTAATGTTCATTCCTTATACATTCGCATTAACTAGGGGACAACTCAAAAAACTCATCTATGGGAGATGCTGTAAAAGAGTTTCTATTATATCAAAATGAACAATCACTCTTTAATTTTAAAGAGCAACTATTCACTTGCTAAATATTTTAAAAATAAAACTCAAGGGTGGAACCTTGATCAAGGAGAAAAGGAAGAGGGATGGTTGTATTAGAAAATGAGCGGGTTGGTTTTGAATTGTTAATAATAAAATATCCAACATTTGTAAAATTGAGAGTGTTGTCGAAAATAAAAAGTTAAATTAAGTAGCTAAATAATTTTCTAACACTATCACTTACTAGTTTAACGAAATTTAAAGTTTTTATTGGAGATGCTCGGTATGACAACCCTTGGCTTGCTAGGGATCCTAATATGAACCATAATAATAAAATACCAAATATCCTCAAAAACTTAGAAAGTTGTTTTGACACAATGGAATTTGGGCTAGTACACAATAGAATTTGGTGGCCACAAATACCTATATACTAGGGTAAAGCACCAAGTCTTGCTCGTGATACCGTTCTTCGAAATAGCGGGTCATGGGCATATATATGGAACATTAGAAATCAAATATGTAATGCCTGAACTTCGATGCCGGATTTGCATATAACAACTGATTTCTTGATCACCATCCTGCCATTCGTGATTACTTCACTCAAGACACCTCGTGTAATACTCAAAGTCCTTGAGAGGTGATTTAAACAGTCCTCGAACTCCCCTCAAGGCCCGTAGACTAGTGCTACCCCTTCAAATAGGCCCGTCAGAGTAGTGCTTGAACCCTTCAAATAGATTAAATTGTAAAAGTCTACAAAATCATCAACAAAATAGGGACAAAGTCTGTATCAAGTTCAAATTTGGGCTACTTTTCAAAAATTCTTTCGAGTACTTACCATACATTCGTGATATTAACGAAG